GGCCTGCTCCGCGCAGGCCAATGGCGTGCGCCTGCACATCGCATCTCACACATGATGAGGAGTCGCATCGCCCGAGCCCTTGCCATTCGAGGGGTGACGTATGCCGGATGGTCGGCGACCAGTCACGCCGGCCGGCCCATCAAAGTGTGCCCTCGTGCCTTCCACCTGTGTCGACCCCGGCAGGCTTGTGCTGTACACCCTGCGGATCGAGACCCTGGCGAAGGGCATGACCAGGGCCGACGCGGCGCAGATCTGCATGGACGGCCTGCGGACGGCGGCCGCCAAGTTCAGCCCTGGACGGGCCAAATTCGGAGGTTACGCAATGCAATGGTGCGCGGCTGGCGCGCGGCGTGCCCTTGAGCGGCGCGGTGACGCGCGGCGCCGCGTGGGGGGCTGCGGTTGCGCTGGCAACGCAGGGGCGGTCGGCGGTGGGACACTGGCGCGGGGGCAGGCGCAGCGGCAAGCCCGCCCGTGCCACGCGTCGGCCGTGGGGTGTTGGCCGCGGGCCCCGATCGCCACGGCTGCGCGCGTGCTGGGCGCGCACGCCGATGCGCGTCTGGATGCGCTTGCCCCTCCCTCCCTGAGCGTCACCCCACCCCGGCTTGGTTACAGGCTCGTCCATAGAGCTTTTTGCATCCATATCGTCCCCCGCCGCTACCTCACACTCGTTTCGTTGGGGCTGGTTTTCTGTTTTGCTGTTCTGCGAATTACCGCAGGATTCTTGCGAAGCTGCGGCGCGAGTCTGACTCGGAGCGCTCTCTCATCCGCTACCCGGCCTCCGCGTTCGCGGTGAGGGCCGCCGGCCGGCCGGGCGCGCGCCTGCGCAGGCGCGCGCGCGCGCGCGTGTGTGTGTGTGTGTGTGTGTGTGTGTGTGTGTGTGTGTGCCGCGCGTGTGTGTGTGTGCGCGCGCGCGCCCGCAGCCGCATGAGACCGGGAGGGCCGGGGGCCGAGGGGCTGGGCGCGGGGCACGCGCGCACCGCCGGCTCAGCCTCAGCCGCAGGGGCCGGCGAGCGGCGGGGTAGGGCAAGGAGCCCTGCCCTCTGTCAAGGTCCTGCGTCGCTGCCCCTAGTACAACCCTCGACGACCGCGGCCTCCGCCTGGCGGCCCCGCCCCCCCCACCCCCCCC